AATGTATTGGTGTTTTGGTGTTTTATGTTGTTGGCCTTCAATCTCATACTAAAGAAATGCCGTGTTTCAATAGACATGAAATTGCTGAAGCCATGGTTTTGGCCATAAGGGATGACTTCTATTGCTGTGGTCTCTTAATAGGTAGAGCAACAAATAATTAATTACCAAAAAAATGAGAAAAATTTTGTGAACTCAAGATGTTTCAAAACTGTTGGCTTGAACCTTGAGGCGTGGTTGTGGGTGGTTTCTGTCTGTTGATACAGTGTCAATGTGTTACCAGTGACTTGAAGGAAACTGAAAGTGTTACTTGGCTACCCAGGTCCATTATTTGTCCTGACCAAAATACTGTGTTTGAAAACAAATACAGTAAATAGTAGATATTAACGCTGGAAAAATGGGATGATGTCTACCTGGTGCTACAGGAGGAGTGAAGTACTCATGTAGGAAAACTGGGCTGTTCAATGGCTGCCTTCAGTGCAGGATCACTGCATGTGTCTTAGTGGACAAAGAGCATATTTTTGCTACAGTATTGAAAATTCATAGTAAAATGTGCCTCAATTCTTAAGTAAACAAATTCTGTGAAATCTTTTAAAGCAAATGTAGATTTCACATGAAGAGGTGTACAGATTGCTATTAATATTTTGGCCATTACTGTGGCATCCTTTTGATGTGTGAATAACTTCTAGAGCAAGGGCTGTTGTAGCATGTTCTTGATTATAATGTATCATGGGTTCCGTTCACTGCTACTTATTTTACAAGGTCAAGAGAAGGGTTTAAAATGAATGGCAGGGTTACTTGCAAAGTTTTTGGTACAACCAAATGTAGGTGAACAGAGTAGGGAAACCTGTCCTTAAATTGTGTTTGGCAGATCTCATTCATGTCTAAGGCAGAAGGCAAACCCAACTGGAAGAGCCTTTCAGGGTTGACTAATGTGTAACTATAGAGCATGTTTGAGAGGTTAGAAAGGCTGATGCCAGTAATTAAATTTGGTTAAGTTTCTTACAATAACTATAAAAATTATTTTAATAGTCTTTATTTATGGGGTTTCCACTGCACTCATGTTAGTCCTGAATATTTTATTGTGACAATAGTGGACAACTTTGTGGTGGTTTATTTTTCATGTTTTTGTACCTCAGTCAAGGCATTAGCATTAAAAAATACTCAGAGTTTTAATTTATCTTCAGATGCCTAAATGGATTTTATATTAGGCTAGCATGCAAAAAAAACCTTATTTTTTTTTAATTAACAAAAAACTCCAAGCCAAAATAACCCCAAAAAACTGTTTCTTCAGTTTAGTGTGGGGAAAAAAAAAGAGTGAAATATTTAATTACTGTCATAACTGAGGATGAGTTGAATGCTCGAAACAAATAATTTCTGCAAAGTTGAATGTTCAGTTTCTGGTTCTGAAACTGTGAAGATCCCGTGATTGAATGCGATTGCAACTCTGCATGTTCCACAATGCAAAGCAAAGTGAATTACCGGATCCTGCATTCCACTTCAGTGTGCTGTACTTCTTTTCCATCGTATTTAAAACAAGGAAGGCCGTAAAGGATTGGAAAACAGGACATCAGGGCAGTTGTGAAAGTCAGTCTGAGGCTCTGTACTGGTTCCATTGCTGTTTGCTTTGCTCTATAACTGGTTATTTTGAAATGAGAATGGGGAAGCTGGAATGAGGAGGCAGAGACCACTAGATGGCCCCACTGGTTTTTGCTGTGCTGTGGGCAACTTCTGCATCACTTTTTGTTGAGAATCTGCCTGGGATGATCAGGGGAACAACATAGTGGTGGAGTTGGCTTGCAGACCAAAAGGAGGTTAAAGCCATACACATTCCAAAGAGTAAATTGGTGTTGGAGTGCAGACACTCAAAATAATGAAGACATTTTAAAACCTTTCTTGAATGTCAATCTCTTCTGCAGTTAACATTGGTTTTAACATAATGTTCTCAACATGAAGTAACTTCCCATACTTGATTTTTGTGTGTTAGAAGTAGCGTTTTTGAAGTACATGAGCTTACTTTTCTTGGAAGAAAATGTTAAGCTGAGGATGTTTGGTTTGTACTTCTCCATGTGGAAGCGATGTGATCAGTTTGGTTTGTCACTCACCTGTGGGCTTGGTTGCTGTTACATGAAGAGTAAAGTTGGAGTGTGGCTCAGGAGTAGTATGGTGGCCTTGCTAAAGGCAACTACTGTGACTTGTTACCATTTTCATCTGACTTCTGATGTGTCCTTTCCCACCAGTAACTAAAGCAGTCATTCGTTTGTTTGTAAGTGTGTGTTTGCTGTTGCTCTGTTTGTCTCTCAGGAGCTGGAAAACTGGGTTAAGATGGTGGAATGTCTTGTCCCCAGTCACCATCTGTGTATGGCAAACCAGTTTTCATGCCTATTACGTGGGTTTTGATGGATCTACATCTTAGAAAATAGCATGGACTGTAGTTAAAACACTTGGCTTATTATAATAAACTTGGTTTTCCACTAAGCAGTGTCAGCTTTAGTAGGTGGGTCTGTCCAGTAAAGATGGTTGCCAGAGCAAATATCTCAAATTTCCCACTATTGATTTCTCTGGTGTTTTAACACTATGGAGAAATTTCAAATAAAATTTATGGAGCCTGAAAGGGTTTTTAAATTTCTATTCATTCTGCCCCTGCTTCTTTATGGTTTTGCTTAAAGCTTATATTTTTTCACTCTTGATCTGATGATTTGACATTGCTTGTTCATGATCAAAGTAGAAGTTCTGAAATGTGTAATAAGGAATGAACCATCTGCTATATGTTTAAACTATCTTCAAGGTACAGTAGTTGAATGTCTTAGTTTAAAGATATAATCTGTATTCCAACAGCATTTTTCTTTTAATTTTCCATAAAGAATCCAGTCAGATGAAGAGTGTCAAAAGGAGTCTGCGAATGAGACACCAAGATGGCAGTCCCACTGTTGATTGAGAGGTTGAGAAATGGACTGGGGCATGAGTGCTGTGATGTGTCTGTCCAAGAAAAGGATGTTAAAACATGGACTCGTGTTATTAAACCAGAGAAGATCTGGGTTGCGATCATCCTGTCAAAATGGACTTTGCACTTGAATTAATCAGGGGACTGTATACCGATACAGTGATGGATCTGTTTGAGGACTGGGTGACAAAATTTTACTCCTGGGTGGTGTATGCATAACAGGCAAATTCGTTGGGTAAGAGATCTGTTCTACTCCTTTGGAGAAAATGTAATGTTGTTTTGAAGTAACTTAATAAAAGGTTTTGGTTTCTTTCACACTTTGTGTTTGTCCTTTCTGGCTGAATTTTTTTGTGTGTGTTGGTATTGAAGTGCATTACGTTTTTGGTTGCTATTAAAGTGAGAAATACTTTAGCTGCTAAGCACTAAAGGCAAGGTAAAATTTTTTGCTGTACTTGAGTTAAAATGTGGTTTTCATTTGCAAATTATCTTCACTTTGCCATGACTTCCAATGAATTTTTATTTGCTGGTTTGTTCATTCAGGTGCTTAATGTGAGGGGTTTTTCAGTACTTGGCCTATTGTCATGGTACTTGTGCTGAACTTTCTGAAGTTATTTTAAGATGGAATTGATATCAATCGCAGGCTGGGGAAATGTGACAATAAAGAGTACTTGAACGTTTTGTGTAAAATTTTAGGTATGCTGCTTTGGTTGTATATGGGTACAGAAACTTTTCAACATTTCCTGGACAATACACTTCCTAACCAGTCTGTTCAGTCTTAAAACTGTTCTGTACAGGTGTCCAGTCTGCTTCAGTGCTGTTTGGCTGAGTGAGGCTGTACCATGTATTTGAGAAAAAATTGAGTTATTTTTGATATTGCTACAGAAGATGTTAACCTTTACAAATGAGTTTTAAAATTGTTTTTATGTTCCAAAACCGATTTTGTTTCAAGTTTCTTGTGGATCAAATAGTAAAACTGTACCCATCTTCCTTTGTTTCAGCTGTAATTCAAAGTTGCCTTTGTTTGATGCTGGAGGGCCAAGATGGCAAACCTGGTGCTGAGATAACCTGGGTGTTTTCCTTTAGAAACAAACAAAAACACAAACAACCCCACTGTGTGTTTAACCATTTGGTTTGTTCTGACTTCCTTGTAAATCTCCATTTTTACCATGATGAGTTGTTCATATCTGCTTTTGATGATGCATTCTTGCTCATGTTTGGTTTTGTCATGTGTCCAATGGTGGAGTTGGATACTGGGACCAACCTGAAGGGATCTCTGTTCAGATGAGTGGATTTCCGTGGTGTTACCCAAAATTGCTTGAAATGGTCTGGCATTGTATTTTTGAGTTCTTGTAGTTGAGGTGCAAGGGCTCTTCTGTCAATAATTGGTAAATTGTTTAAAACGGACCTCTTGGTGTGGACAAACGCTTGGTTGTTGGAGGATGTGAATGGCCGGCGCGTGGAGGCGCTGATGGGGGCTGTCTTGGTTCTGTTGGGAGAAGTCAACGTTTTCAGGCCACTGGGATGCGGTGCCATGGATGTCCCCATAGGAGCCCAAAGTAGCCCATTGCCCCCTTCCCAGTCAGCAGTGCCCCAGTGTCCGATTTTGCTGTCTTGTTGCGATGCTTATGAATAAGCAGGATGTCCTTGCACTCTAAGGAGTCTGTTGCTTGTGAGACCACTGGTGGTCAGAATTGAAGAGGTTGGGAGAAGCTTGGGCCTCCTCGATTTCCTCTGTGACCCATCCTCTCAGTACTAGGATGTTGGATTTGGGCTGTTGCTTGATGCCCAGTTCTATGGCTTGGCTATTACACAGCTTTAGAATTAATTTGTCATGTTAAAAACTGTTTATGAACATGAATGGGTTAAGAATGTGAATTAGAAATAACGCTTTTCATGGTGTCAGACTTGGTTTGCAGCAGTGCCTTCGCCCAGCTGATGAAAATTGTGTAGCTGTTGGATTTTCGGTTTTGGGGAGAACCACTAGGGAGGCGCTGTTGAGCTGGAGGGGGTTATCAGCAATGCAGGGCTCTTTTAGGAGCACCTTCCACTCTTGTCCCAAGCTTTAAGTGCAAGCGTTGGGTGACAAATGGTGGCACTTTTTGTCTGGGGATACTGCCCCTGCATTGCAAAAAAGCTCCCCCTTGGGTGGGGTGAGCCCCAGGGTGGGCTGCTGCTGCCTGCATGGCTGTCAGCTCCACTTCCATCCTTTCAAAATGGCTTGTAACAGCACCACTTCCTGTCCAGGGAGGAAGTAATTTTAGCCCAGGCTCTGAAATATTTAGCAAATCTTTAAAACAAAAGGCACAAATTCCATTTCTTTCTGGTTTCCAAAGGGTGCCTGAGCCACATGGGGTTAAGGTGCCCCTTCACATGGGGTAGTTGGCAGAAGCCAGGGCTGTGGGGGTAGCAGGCACCCTTTAGGTGGAGGCTATCTCTTTTTTTGGTAGAAATGAAGGGGTGGGTCTATGGTACATCACCTGAGTTGTGGGGTAAATGTAGAGAGTGTCAATCAAAGGCAGAGCTCAGAGCTGGGAAGGAGCTCTAGATGGCGGCTGTGCCTTAGAGAGAGCGCGCTCAGCTCCGTGCCTTCCCCACCACTTTACGCAACTTTCCCTAACTTTCGGGCAGCCTCAGGGGGCCCCCACAGCCCCTTGCCTCTCCTAGGCACTAATCGGGGGCCGAGCGGACCTTTTTCGGGCAGAAAAGCAGCTTTTGAGGGCTCCCTTTTCGTGCCTTGCTGGAAAGAAGAAGCCGTGGAGAGAGCCCAGGTCGTTGTTTTTCCAGCTTAGAAGCCATGGCGTACCTCCATTTTTGTGCGCTCTCCTAATGAGCTTTTTCCCCCGGACATTTTTCTACTAATTATCGCTTCTTTTGCTTTCTCGGCAGCATATTTTTGGGATTAGAATATATATTTTTTTTCATTCTCTGAAATTCTTATTTTATCATTTTGACTCTGAATATTTTGGATCTAATGTTTTTCCACTACCCGAAACTAATATCGACTTGGTCCTGGCGGCGGTGCATGGATCAGGTAGGTGAGCAATTAATAATAATAATTTTTAGATTTCTGCCGTTTTGAATACTTTGATTTTCGACCGATTTGAGCTGTATTGGGATGACGCAATAAGATCCAGAGATTATTTGCATGCAGTGTTACTTTGGGAAAGTTTGCAGGATGCTCCTCTGCTGTGCTTATTCCCGGATTTTTCTCCTAAAACCGATGATTTGTTTTAAATCTCCGTTTTGCCGTGTTGCTCAGTGTTGTGTATTGTTATAACAATATCGTTGCAGCGTCAGGACTTTGTTCCTGCTAATGAAAGCCAGTGAAAACGAACCGGGACCTTACCTTTCTTTCAACTTTTGACAGTAAATACCTGGGCACAGGACTTCAAAGCAAACAGACACCCCTGACCCCCTCTTAATATTTAAGAATAAAAAGATGATGAGAAATAAGGACAAAAGCCAAGGAGAGGAGGGTTCAGTCCACAGCAATGCATCGAGGTATGATCTATCAACTTTCTTTTTTTTTTTCCCCCTAAAACCTGTGAATACCCTGTTTACTTTGACAGCCTGGGGTTACTGTCAGTGCTTAATATCAGACATTTTACTGATTTTTGCTGTCTTTTTAAGGAATGACCTTGAGATTGTTGGCATGCCACACCCTAATTTTTTTTTGGTAGCAATTTCTGAAAGTTGTGTTGTGACTTAAGGGCCCATGTCATAGTCAAAAGGTACTGTACCTTGATTCAGGGGAGACCTTTCCTCTGCGTTATGGTTTTCCAGCTTTTCCATTTGGGTTTTTGGGTTTTTTGTGCTGTGAAAAATGACCTTGTCGGTTTAGCCATTGCTGCATTGCACCATTTTACATACAAGGCAAATTTTTCTTTGAAGAATCTCGGAAGTCTAAACTTTAACTGAGGGCCATACAGCAGCCTGGTGTAGTAGTAAATTATAGTAAATAGACCCTGCAAAAAGTTACATGAATGAAAAAAAGCTCATTTTAAAATATAAACTGGAAAGTGCCTGTTTGGCTGATACCCCTTACTTCAAATTTTATTTGAGCTTATTGAACTTTGGTGGTGTTTGGGTATTTTAGAATATTTTGGTACAATTTCACCAGACTTTCTCCCGCTGGTGATAGCATTTTGTATCACGAAATACACACCGGGACTGTCAAGGAGAGGCTTCCAATGCTTTGCTTGTTTGTTTGATGTATTTTTGCTCTGAGTGTTTTTATTGACTTTTGTTGGGTATTGAGATGCTTTACAGATTTTTATAAATTTAACCTTGATGTGGGAATGGCACGAGATACTGGAAGTGTTTGTTTGCTAGGAATGCAGAAGTATAATTACTGAATTGTTCATTTTGTATTTAAGGGGCTGGCTTATTTTGAAAATGGGAAATTAAATTATACGCATTTTTATTTTCTAGTTTGTAAACACGCTCGAGTTTTGCATTTTGTTAATTTTCATTGAATCTTGGCCTGTTTATTTTTCTCTGGTGTTGTCTTCAGTAATTTTTAACCAACATTAATAAAAAGGAATTGTGACCTGTCTGGTGTATCGCACGTGCTCTATGTGGTGTTTGCAGGTGTTTGAACAGTATTCTCCATGTCCAGTATTTAACCTTAAACACACAGACTTGAAGTACTGTGGGAATGTTTATATTATCACATTACTGTAACTTTTGGCATAAACTCCGATGCTATTCTGGATGTATTAAAACTGCAGTCAGATTTTAAATCCTAAAACGGATTTGGGTAAGTTTGTTTAATTTGAAATTGTTATGGACTAAATTAGCCTCAGGGGCTGGTGAAGCATTACATATAGCACCTGTACAGAGCTGTTAGAATAATGCAGTTAAAAACCACATCAGATTTCAGACCGAGCCATCTTTATATTTCTGTAAATACTGCACACAAAATATTGTGGAAAAAAATCTGTTTTTAAAAAAATCACTTACAACGCAGCTTATTTAAGTCTTTTTGCTTTTTTTGAAGTGCAGATCACAGCAAGAGCACTAATGGGTGTAATTGTTTCAGGAAACCTAAATTAGGGTATTTTGTCGGTGTTAGAAACACTGCTAAAGAGGAGATGAAACTGGAGGTGCCTGGCAGCAGCTCCACAAAAGACCTGTGGGGTTTTGTCCTTAGGGGCAGTAGATTTGCATAGGCTTTCCTGTGTGCTTTTGGGCTTTTCATTGAAAGGTTATTTATGATAATGGATCAATTCACATGTAACACCTCTTGTGTGAGGTTACCCTTCTCCCTTTCACAGTTTGTTCTGAAAATCAACTTGCTGGGGGTAACAGCCGCTCACCTGAAGTGTGGGAACAGTTGAGCACAGGATATTTGTGAGTGAGCCCCGTCGAGCTTATTTCTGAGCTGTGAGTCAGCTGAATGTCGTAAAATGGGCTTTACTTCCTGAGCTGGGCTTGAAGGTGCAGGGGAAATGATTTCTAGGAAGTAAAGCCACAGCTCTGCTTTACTGTAGCCCCAAAATGCCCCGATGTCTGCACCTTCATGTGCTGCTGGCCAGCTGCGGGAGCAGCTCCTCACCCCTGGAGATGAGTGAGGTGCTGTTCCAGAAACCCTGCTGGGAGGCCTGGGTGATGGAGACGGGTGGGAAAGGTAGATATGGCTGCTGCCATTCACCTGGGCTGGAGAAGCCAAAATGCAGGGCTGGGGCAAGGGTTTAAAGCAGAAAATACAATTCGTGCTCACCACCTCAGTGTCCTAACTGGGGAGTGTGTTTGGGGTTGACCCCTGCCTTTCCAGACCTAAGGAAGTGCAAGATACATGCTGGATAAACACAAATACCTGAGAATTGTCCCAAAACAGATGGTTATCTTGGGGGTGGAATGGCCTTTACCCTTCACAGTTTGCAAGCTGAGGGGTGTACCTGGTGCCTTCTGAGGTGAACAGCAACACCTGTGCTTTGTATATTGGCAGTAAATCTTTCCCAAGTTGAAGCTGATTGATTTCATGCAACTTTCTCCACCCAGGATTAAAGTTGGGATGCTGCAGTTACGAATTAATCACCTCCTGTGTATCTGGGACTTGCATTAAATAATTGAAAAAAAATCCAAGTGTGTTTTCTAGCATCTTCTGTGCTGCATTTTGGAAAGGCAGCTGTTGTGAGAGGGTACATCCGTGGTGCAGGCCTAAGGTGAACCTCAGAAGTGAGGGGCAGGCTGGGTCCCCCTGAAGTCCAGGAGTGAGTTTTGTAGGGGATAGCAAGTAACACATGGTGGATACATTATTCCTCTGGTTCCCCCAGCCTGCATCTGTTGCAGTTGCTCTTGCCCCTCCTGAATACCCCAATGTGGAAACAGTGTCTGCTACAAAAACTGAACAAACTCTTCCATCTATATCCACCTTGAAAGCATCATTTTTTGAGGGGGAAAAAAAGGGTTGCAATGGGTTAGATCTGGGTTTTTCTGTTCAGAGAGCTGGAAATTTGAGGTCAGAAATGGCGTTGGTTTTGCTCAGCAGCCACGTTCCAGGGGCTGAGGGCTCTGCAGTGTGTGCTGCAGCCTTCGCAGAGCACAACACCCTCGGTTTACGTGGCAGCCATTTTATGAAGATGGAGTTACATACTAAAGGGGATTTGTAGGGGGGGAGGAGGGAAAAGAAGACGTTAAACAAAAATTGCCCTCCCTGGCTGCCGCTCAGAGCAGAGGGCATCCCTTTTGTGTCTCGATAGCGCTCGAGAAGCCCCGATTCCCCTCGAAAAGAGAGGGGGAGGCTGCACCGGCTGGCATTTTGGTGCGGGTCCAGTGGAGTCACAAAATGGCTGTTCCTTTGTGCCGCAGCGCTGACAGACGCTGCATTGCACTGCGCGCTCCGAGCGCAGCAGGAAGTTGCTGGTGCGGAGTTCAAAGGGCGTCCTGCGCTCGCTGGGGACGCCATTGGCTGCGCTCGCCTGGTAACAGGCGGCCGTGCGGGGGCAGGGCGCGGGCTGCGCGTGGGGGCTGCGCACACCGCCACGGCTCTGCTGGGCTGTGCTGGGTTGTACTGGGCTCTACTGGGTTGTACTGGGAAGCGTGGTCACGGAGCGCGCGGCGGCTGCTGCCTCTCATCTGACAGGCGCGGGCTTTTATTTTATTATTTTTTTTTTTAATAGTGCCGGTTATTTTGGGAAGCAAGTGACTTGAAAAAGAGCAGGGTTATTTTTAGTGCGGCTTTTTTCTTTTCTTTTTTAAACTTCAAAAGGAATGGTGGAATATTGTAGTATTCCTGGAACATCTGGCCTTTTTTTATAGCATTTCAGCATCCGCAGATCACTAAAACTCACTCCTTTGCTTTCAACGTGCATTTTGCAACTGATTTTCTTTTAAGCTGAGTGGAAACATTAAACACATTTATTAAAATGCCTCTGACTGTGGGATTCAGCTTTTCCTCCAGGCTGACGGGTTATTTTTTAGCTGTTCTATGTACCAGGTCTTTCAGTTTCGTTTGTGTGGTTTATGGAGGATACTTTAACAAAGATTTTTGTTTTTCTTTTTAAGCTTTAACCCTTTGTGGCACCATCCAGAGGCTTTTTTGAGAAGGGAAAATGCTTGACCGGTGCAGGGCACAAAAGGAATAATGTGCGAGGAATTCATATGAGGAGTGATGTAATGTGCGCGGCACAAAGGAGACGGTTGTTCTTGTTTTGCTTTGTTACTTCTGTTTCACATTACCCTCTCAAGGAAATGTCTCATCTAATTACGAATGCACCATTCTGAGGCTTTCAACTTCTCTGTTTCCTGTTTGGCGATTGCTGCCAGGAGTGGGTGCGATACATACGGTGCTATAAAAAAGGCTCACCGACTGCAAGAAGCTACATTTAGCTGCAATTTAATCTCTTCTGGGTTGTTCTTTTCAGTTAACCATCTTAAGCTATTTGATCAGATGTTATGTGTTCTCTAAATACATGACCATTTTGCTGAATAAAAATGGAAAAACAGGAATAAAGATCTCACCTGGGTGATACTGTAACCCTGCAAAAATGCTCCTGCAGCACCCCTGCCTCAATTTATTGGTGCCTTCAGCCAAGAGCAGTGGCTGAGATGGCAGATTAGAGCCTGTTCCTCTTTCTTTTGGGTTGGTGTTTCACCTGCTGTGCTTTGAGGGCAGCAGCTGCCCTTATCTGCACCTTCCCCCATTTCCTATATGAGCTGAACCTGAACTTTCCCGCGGCTCACAAGAAATACGTCGTGTGGTGGTACCACGGGGTCATAGCCCATCGCTTGTAGGGGACTGCGCGTGTGAGAACACAGGATCTCGTGTGTCGGGGGCTACGATAACCACATCGGCTTTAAAACAAACATTTCCACTGTTAACTTCGTGTTGGTGCTTTGAGAGGGCTCGGGGGGAACAGGAAGGCACTGATGGTAAATACGAGTCTCTCCACCTCAGTATGGGGAGAGCCAGTTCCCATTGCACTCCTTGTCTCAAGAGAGCTGTTGGTACCATTAGCAGGTTACTGAGTTGCTAAGCTTGTCCCCGAGGAATTTTTACTGGAGCAGATGAAGGGA